ACAAACAAAAATAAATTGATTCAACTACAACAAAATTAGTTCACGACTAAATTTCAATAAAAGAATTCTAAACGCCACTCCCCGGCGGCAGCGCCAATTTTGATAACATTCAACTACACTTCATCCGATTCTAAGTGTAGGCGGTCGTAATCAAGTATAAATTCAACTAAGAGTTGAGGTCGATCCCACAAGGAGTGATACAGTAGAGAATTCAATTACGAAGTAAAATGGTGCTCTAATCATTTGTAGAAGTAGATATTTTCAAAACAATTAAAGTAAATGGCATGGGTTTGACAATCAATATCAATTGGGGGGATTAGAGTGAACAATTAACAACTACTTACAAACGAGAGCGATCAAGTAGGGAGGAATCCTTGAGAGTGTGATCAATTGAATGTCAATTGCGCTAAATGGGTGATTAATATTTACTAGAACTTGTTGAATCTTAGTGGGTAGACCAGGCCTTAGGTGCGATAGCTATTTCTCAATCAACTATCATGAATCAAGCAAGTTCTCTCGACCTCGACGAACCCAACACATATGAACAACCCAATATCTCAATTAATCTACTTTTTCAAGCTAGATTAGTAGGATTGAATTCATACCCACTTTCTCAAGCTAAGTCCACAATAACCCAACCACTACAATCATCAATTCATAGTTTTAATCCTAAAACCTCTTTCTCAACCAAGCCTAGAATTCTAAACTAGAATTGTATTTGCAACTACAATTCATCAATTAAAACTCAACTATCAATTGAACCCACTTCAAATCAACATTAAAAAAACAGTAAATACTAACACCCATAAGCTAATTGAAATATTCAATCACATAATCTCACCCCTAAGAATGGGGGTTTTAGCCAAACATAATAAAAAACAAGAAAATGTTACCAATTATGTTCTCCATCAGCTTGGGCAACAAATTGCAAGTCTTCAAAATGTTCAAAATAAAAAACAACCCTAAATTCCTATTCAAAAAGACTAAAAACAATGTTCAAAGTGTTTTAGATAAAAAAAACTCAGGATTAGAATGTGAGGGAAATCCTTTTCTTCCTTTCAAAATTTCATTTACGTTCCCAGGTTTTCAGCTTCGAAGCCACTCAACGGAGTAAGTCGAGCTTCACTAACCAGGTCAGCGACACGCTGAATGCTCCCTTCATCTCCTTCTTGGCTTGACTTTTTTTCTTTGTTGTAACTTTAGGCAATCGAGGTCGGGCTCGCCGACCCGTTCGGCGATGCGCCAAGTTTGGCTTGCCTTTTCACCAATCATTCTGTAACTTTAGGCGGGCTAAGTCTCCATCACCGATCCAGTCGGTGCTTCGCCGAATCATTCTTTCTATCGCCGAGTTGAATTTGTCCATGGGTTGGCCTTCTGTAACTTCTGGCGAGCTGAAGAATCACTCGGCGAATCACTGAGTGGCTTTGGCGAACATCCGCCTTTCTTTTCTTCAACTTTTTCATCTTTTCGCTCTTTCTTACCCAATAATGTCTTTGTCTTGCTCTTTAGCCTTCATTGCTGCAAATTAGCATTTTAACATTAGTTTAGAGAATAAAATAGGCATTGAGGACACTAAAACTCTGAATATCTAGCCCTAAATTAGTCGAAATCCCCGACTCATCAAATATTTCTGCTCCCTGATTTGCAAAAATGTGGTCCTTAAAGCTTTTTTAGGGACTATATTTTCCGGTCCTTAAATAGAAAATCAATTAGTGTTTAAATATTTTCAAAACCAGTTTACTGGACCTGAAAACCTATTTGGATAGTATTTATCAACAATAAATATTGGTCCTAATATCAAATGACAATTATCAAATGCATATATACAAAATTATCATAATCTTCTTTCATATATAAATAAACACCATAATACATTTGTCGTGTTATTGTTTACACAACTGCTTCATGGGAAAAGGAAAATAAACTGACGTCTTGTTGGCTTATCGAGCTGCCTAGGCTCTTTGAGTTCAGCACCAACATTTTCCATGCATAAAAAAAGTCAGGTCCAACAACTATTTCGAGCAGTCCAAGACTCCAAGGGCATAGTTTGTGTCGAGCGTATAGATGAGAGATGGTTTTTCATGTGTTTATGGGTAGGTTTAGTTCCTGTCGAGTAACAAATATTACTCGAGCTAGGTTTTACTTGCTTATACAAAAATGAAATAACAAATATTACTTAGCTATAACAAGAAGGAAATAGATTGCAACACAGATGAGAGAATATGACATAAAGATGTATACCTTAATTAATAAATTACACAATGAGAGGCAATCAAATCTTGGTATTGATATTCTCAGTGACAACTAGAACTGATTCTTTCTTCTCATCTAATTGGAATTCTTGCTTAAGTTTGTCATCCTTATACTCCAATCTGTCCATTTTTGTGGTTCCAATTCCTTTACAGGATAGTTGAAATACAATATAAGTAGCAGGATATATACAAAGGGGTGTTCCCACCAAATTTGGAGACTGAAAGGAGAATAAAAGAAGATTTGTACGTGTACAAATGAAATGAGTAGGCTGAAGTTGATATTATATTCCTCTAACTACTGCTCTTTAATGCTTGAGTTAAATTATGGATTTATAAAGGTAAGTAGTAGTAATATACGAACCGCTAGAAAGATATCATGACTGAGCAGTCCATAGGCCATCCAAAGTTCATTAGCTAGGAAAGAGAATAATGACAAGTAAAATGATATAAAATCTACACTGTCTTTATCACTTGTCTCTGCAGTACATGTATGAGTATTCATTATTAGAGAAATATTACAAATTGTTTGACATTAATATTATTTTAGAAATCACCGTGTACTATAGGGCCCGGGTTAGTTATTGTACTAGATAATATAGTACTAACTTTTTACGATATATCTATCTATTTATCAATCTATCTATTTATCCTACCTTAAAAGCATGAATTCCTAAACTGAATGTTGAATTACTATAATACTCCCAATTAAAAATACTCAATTTGTTTTATTTATTAATTTAATTATTTATATTATATTAAAAGTAGATACCCTTTCATATTAAAGGGTTGTAATTTTCTCAAACATAAGTGACTTTTTCAAAGGGTTACAACTTTTTTGACGGGTTTTGCTATTTTCGATGAGTTGTGACTTTTTCGAAGGGTTGCGATTTTTTCGAAGGGTTATGCCTTTTCTGATGAGTTGTGACTTCTGCAAAAGATTGTGATTTTTCCGATGAGCAATTGCTTTTTCGAAAGGTTGTAACTTTTTTGATAAGGAACAATTAGCACCTATTCATACTACTATTTGTTAGCTATAAATAGAGAGTTTCCTCTCACTTTTAAACTACAATTTTTGAAAGTTTTCTACTCTTCTTCTTCTTAAAAAATCTCAGGTTATTTGCAACAGTTGATTAAGTTCAAAATTCAATAAAATTCGAGGTACCACATAAGAAAGAGTTGGTGCACAAATTTTAGCAAATCATTCATAAATTCACACTCGTATTTTTCTAAGATTTCCATGAGTTAACAGTGACGAAAAGTTGTGGGAAACACAATAAAAATAAATAAATATGAAAAAAGTCACATGATTTGGGTAAGATATTCTTCTTTGGTTTAATTTCTTCTTTGTTTTTTTTTTGGTTTTTTTACCCTTAAATGAAGCAGTTTCTTTCTGATTTTGCTAAAACAACGGGCATCAACGGTGTTCATTGAATCATCAGTTTTGATGTTAAATCCACTTTTAAATAGATTTTCACTTTTACTTATAATATGATAATATATACATGATAATAATTATTTTAATAGATATGTAAGTAAAAATGAACAAAGAAAGTAAAGTGTTGGTGACAAGAGATTTTAATCAAATGGAACACTATAGTGAATATAACATGAAAATATATTTTTGTCTTCCTTCTTCATTGGCTATGTATCGTTTCATATATATTTTTTCCTATTATTTTGTGTTCATTTTAATTTTAGAAAATTTTATGTCACAAGATACACTCCTTGTTAGCTATATAAAAAATAGATAAGAAAATAGTGATTGATCATAAAATAATCTTAAATCAAATTAAAGATTCGATAAACAATACTTTAAATTTTATTCATCTAATAATTTTTATTATTGAAGGTTAATATATTATATCACGATACAACTTCTATAAGATTCTAGATACTTTCATTAGACAACAACTATATGATATGTATGCGGCATGAAAAAGGAGATCTACAATTCTACAAAGATAAGGTAGAAACTTGAAGAAATGAAATGTTTTTCACCAATGGTGATGTTGTTCATATATTAAAATTAAATTATGCTACTGAAATATATATGTATTTCTAAAACAAAGAATGGTCAAGCTAAATAATTGACATACACGCAAACCTCAATTTAACCATCATTCCTTATAACAATAAAGTGCCTTTTTATTGTAGAATTACCTCTCTATGATAGTCTTACTCAAATATTAATTGGTAAAAGATAGATTACATATAAAGATAAAATATTGAAATATTTATGGTAATCCTTTTGAGTGTCCTGCACATAATAAATTTCAAGTATGAATATTCAAGAGAAAAATTATACTTAAATGGTGTCCATCATTTATGTTCATAACCTTAAGAGGAAAGACCATTGGTGACATTTTTTGTATTGATATTTTTTTAAAAAAAATTGTTGGTTAGATTTGTTTACAAAATTGAGTTAAGTAAATAATACTACTACTAAAGAAATGTCACTTTCTCCCTATATTTAAACTTTGAATGTATTTTGAAATGTTTCAATAATCTCTAGTCATTTTGATCTCAAAATATTTGTATTAATCATTTAAAAGCATTTGTCCTATGTTCTTTAAATTATAATTATTTACTAAAAAAACTTTAATTTAGTAATATTACTTTTATTTTACAACATCGTATACTATATATATATACACACGTGCAACGCACGTGTCGTGAAACTAATATATATATATATATATATATATCGAAATCCAATTAGTAAAATGACTCACTAGTCACCACAACAACTACAGGGAAGTCATACATAGCAACTGAAGCAACAAGTCCAATACTCCCTACAAAAATCTTGCGACATCACTGTTCATGAAATACAAACGTCGATATAATCCATGTTTCCATGCAAATTAAAATAATAGGCACCACCATTTTTGCAACCTCCTCCTGTTTTTTTTTTTAACAAAAATAAGAAGTAATTAATAAAAATGCACACACTTAAGCTTCTATGCAAAAAATAAATAAAATCAAGTCATATATATATATATATCTTACTACTGGTAATGCATACCATCTGTAGAGACAACAATTAAACAATACTAGTACGTAAGGTACACATGAAAATCCTTCGATATTCTTCTTCTTCATAACTCGACAGAAAGTAAGCTTGTCCATAAACACATGGGAAGGTCAGATTTTTTTAACACTTTTAGACTCAATTTATAAGTACATATTCAACAGACAAACAATTAACGTCGAGTCACTGATTCAGGCTTGGGACTTTACATTTCGGAGAATGCAAGTTGCAAAGGAGCGCCATATGCTTAATAGGATTTTAAGTTCATTATAGTGAAACTACCACCACAACTAAAATTGTTTCATTTCATGCAGTTCATACATTTCACTCCAGAGAATTGACCAAACAACACGCAATGTCGTGTTGCCTAATAGAATTTTGCTTAACAAGAAACATAATACTGAAATTTTCAGTTCACGGAATCCTTACTTGATAAATATATATGTCTCAGTGTAGTACCACAAATGGTGTATCCTTTGTTTTACTTTTCACCACTAAATTAACATAGATAACAAAGTGAAATTAGAACACAAACTGCCAAGAAGAAATCAAAATTTGATGATGAGCACACAAACTACCAAGAAAACAACATGATCAAGTATAGCTAAATGGCATATTCATGCAGTTTTATCTCTGACTTAGTGACACTCATATATCACAATGCATAAGATAAGCAACAAGTAATAGATAATGATCCAATGATGCCATCATCACAGTGGCTACACTATCATATGGTACGACTTCAGACACTCGCAGGTGTTAAGCTATCAAACGTGCACATGTTTTAGTTCGCAAGACACAGATACAAGCTTGATTTCAGAGATTTATTTTTTCACTTAAACAATTTTTCAAACACTCAGTAGGTATAAAATCTTAATGACGTAATGTTCGACTTCAGATGTATATTACGCCCTCCCAAATTTAATGGGAACTATAGTAAAATATATATGCACATTGCATTCAAACAATACTCAAACAAGTAAGAAGAATAAGAATTGCACTTCATAACACAGAGCACACAAGAAAAAGTTCATCTGTTTATTTCTAGGAGAGATCTGAGAGAGTGAAAAAACGACAAGAGACTTTCCTAGTGGTCGTTGATGATATGACAAGGAAACGGATCGTCGTAGCTGAACAAGGATATGGACTGATCTTATTCTTGTTTTAGTTTGTGTGATTCAGGAGAAGAATTTCAATGAAGCACTAAATATTGCAATTTTCAGTTTCAAACCAATTAAAAAAAATGTCTTAATGTCAACAGATTACAACAGAAACTCAAATTTTACTTTGAATCTTGGAGATTCATTTGAGTTTCACAACATCTTATTGTCCTTCCATGGTTCCTACTAGAGTAATATTTTGTATATTAAGCAGTTCTATAATTTGTTAAAGTGCAACATACCAGTCATAGTCAGTAGAGAAGATTTGGTGTTGTGCCCACCAACAAAAGTTATTTTAGTTCATACACTCCCAATTTCTTTTTGATTTATTTTGTAGAATTACTTTAAGAAAAAGTTAAAAGTAGAGTTGGCTTGTGGGTTCATAGATCTTTTCATCACTTTAAAAACTTGGGGGATAAAATACAAGTTTATAAAAATACAAAAATTCCTTTTTATATTTATTAAATATTTCATCTTTTTTAAATTCATTTAATTATTCAACAATTTTTCTCTTTCTTCTCAACCTCTCTTCTTCCCTAGTTTCTTGAGTATCTCAAATAGTTGAAAATTTTATTCTCCAATCTTCTTTCCAAGTCAAAACTTTTATCCTCTTGTGCTTAGGTAAGTTCATTTTCCATTCCCGAATAATTTTAGCTCCGTTTTACTATATTTTTTTGTTGCATTTTAGTTTAGTGGATTTTGAATTTTTACAAAAATTTGATTGCTCTTGATTAAATTTGTCAAAATTTGATATGTTTTGAGTTCATGTTCTTGATCCCGCATCTTTAATTGCTTTTTTCTTTGGATAATGGTTAGAAAGTTTTTGAAATTTTATATTTATATTGTCTATCGATTCTTTTAAAAAAAATTCAGCGTTTCAGTAGACGTTAATGGTGTTTTGATTGTTGTCTTTTGCATTCTCCATTTCTAAAATTACTGCTACTTGTTTTGCATGTTTGATAGAGTATTTTTTTGTTTCAGTTAATAGACTAGTGGTCGATAGATTGATCACTACAAATTTATTTTTGCTTATACGTTGTGCAATATGATAGCTAAAGATAAAAACTCATTAAAGAATTTGTTTCTGCTTGCATCAGTAAGAAACGTAAAGCTGAAGAAGTTGATCACTTTAGAGATTTTTGTAAGAGTAAGGTGGCGGTTTATCGTGATCACTTTAGAAAAATTCTAATTGATCAAAAGCTCTATATTGATTCCAAGCAAAACTGATTTGAACACTTGATACATTTGTCGAAGTATTTTAAATTCAACAAATAAATGATTTGTTATATGTTGTTGCGATGTACGAAGAATAAAAAAAAGGTTATATGACATCTAGTTCTATGTGAACGATAAGCCAATTTGTTTCAACTTAAAGAAATTTGCTTTGATTACATGGTTGAATGGTTAGCATACACCGTGAATAAAAAACGAGCAAAGTCCTTCAATATTGTCGAATTTTTTATTTCAAGGTGATAAGAACAAGAGCATCACTATTGAAAGGTTGATAAGCTTGATCAAATATAATCAATTAAGAAAGGAGCAAAAGTTGAATTGCGTTTTAGTTTGGTTCGCGCACTCTGTGCTGCTAATAAGGGATTCATCGAAGAAAGTGGGTTCAAACCAAATCAAAATAGTGGTTGGCTTAAATTTCTTCAAGAATTATCCATTAGGAAAAGAGTCGTTTGGGCTAGCATTGAGTTGTTTGAAGAAGAAGATTGATTTCAACAAACAGAAAAAATAAACTTTTAATAAGAAGAATAATGCCTTATACGCGTTATACAAATTTTTCTAGGCAATTCTGATACGAATTATCTATCATCTTATCGATTTATTATAAACTCTTATCTGTTAATGCAATAATACATACACTCTATAAATTTATCTATTATTCTATTGATTGCAGGGTTGGATATATGATATTTTTTATCATCTTGAAAAGTATGCCGAAAAGTCTTTAGATTCTCCTTTGCACATTCCTCGTTTATTTAGATGGAGCGACAATATAACAGAAGACACATAACGGAAGGCAACACATTCATTCCTCGTTTACTTAGATGGAGCAATAACTTTTTTGCATTGGATGTTTGAGATGCTTGAGACATTGTAATTATTTAAAATTGAATAAAAAATAAAGTCAATAAAATGAGGGAGTTAAAACAAAGATTACCTTTTTTTTTATATAAAAAAATGTCAGAAACTATTAGGTTCTTCTTTGTGCATTCATCATTTATTTAGATGGAACGACAACATAACGAAATACAACACATTCCTCGTTTACTTAAATGGAACAATAATTATTTTGCATTGGATATTTGAGGTGCTTGAGACATTGTAGTTATTTTAAATTGAATATAAAATGAAGTCAATAAAATGAGGCAGTTAAAACAAAGATTGCCATCTTTTTTACATGAAAAAAGTCAGATATTACGATTCGGTATAATTTGAGTTGTACTTTACTACCATTCCAAAAAGTGAATATTTGAATTTTGTTAGTATTGTACATCAATAAATATAATCAATTATTTCTTATGTGGCTGGTAGGTTATGAAATGTATAGATTGACACTTCATCATTTATAAGGTATATGCGGGTTGGTGCAATGGTAAAAAAAATTAGTATATAAAAAAGTACTACATAAATTAGATTATATTGAGGACCATCAACTGAACTCACTATAAATTCTAAATTACACGCTTTATCAATAGTATATTGTATGAGTTTATAGCTCTTACTAGCTAGTATAATATCAAAAAAAGAAATAATTAATTAATAAAAAAAGTTATTGAAATTTTACACAGCTAAATGTGCTTAAACAAATCATATGATCATAGAAGAGTCTACGTAAATTGAGAACGATGATCAGAGATGTGTGAGGATGGATCGTGGTTATACAATGATCATCCTCAAAATAATGTTTACTAAAGTACAAGTATGTTTTGTGAGGATTTCATTTGTTCAACCACAACTCATCCTCATACATCTTTGATTGTTATCTTCAATTTATGTGCACTCTTATATGATCATATGACTTGTTTAAACTCACTTAATTGTATAAATTTCAATAATTTATTTTTTAATTAATGAAATATTCTCTTTTTAAAATTCTACTAGTTATGGTCTATACATATGTATCCTAACCTAGAAAGTTTATTATGGATGAAGGTGTCACGCCCCAAACTAGAGAAGGCGTGACTGGCACTCGACGCCTTATGCAATCGAGTTAGCCACATAAACATACCAACTGATTCAATTGAGGGCCTAGAAGGTTGGGAAACATAACATCTAAAATACTATGACTGGACCTTTAAGGTCATAACCTGAATATCAGTAAGTCATATAGACGAAGGTAGACAAGCCAAAGATAATAAGGTACTAGCTAGCCGACAAGGATACAATGAAGATATACACACATAAATACATTTCTATACATGCCAAGCCTATGTGGCTGGAAACTGAAAGTTGCAGAAAGAAACCCAGAATACTGTGTCCACAATAGCCTCTATGAGTGACATAAGCACTGGTCGGGACAGGCCCCGATTATACCCAAACTGTACAATAAAAGTAACATCCTATGAAAGCTCCAGGAAGAAGTGGAGCTTACTAACTCACAGCTGAACCCCGAATCCTAGCAGAGGGGTTAATCAGAATCCCTACCTGGACCTGCACGCACGAAACAAAAATGCGTCCCAGGCAACGGGACGTCAGTACGAATAAAAATGTACTGGTATGTAAGGTAGAAAATAGAATAATAAATAGTTACTGTAAAAAAGGGAATAAAGATACCACCTGAAACAGAAACTCTGGTAGCCTCCATGGCTGACATCACACCTTATATAGATTAAATATGCATGGTATGCTCGCATAATCGTATGTTGTGAATATATATATATATATATAGATACAAATGCATGTCATACCCAACCAAGTGCTAGCAATGGTGGTGCCTTCCGGTAGCGAACCGGGATCATATTCGCCAACTTGTGGCCATCTGTGTCTCATACGTATAAATATAGGCAATAGGCCCCAAACCTTCCGATTATAGCTCGGAAGTAGAATGCATAGCATGTAATGTCATAGATCCGTAATGCATTTGTTACCTGAATCATGCTGCCAATCTTAGCTCATTGGTACTCTTGTCCTCATAATCTCGTAATCACTTTCGTATCACATGTAAATATCTTGTGAAACTTATATACTTGTAGATTAAACTGGAACACTTAACTTGGATTTAGAAAGGCAACTTAATCCTTGAGGATGTTCATAAAGAGCTTAAAGTTCCTCACTTAGTATCTATATATGTTTCCTTAGTGGTTTGTTAAAGAAAGTATTTCAGAACAACCCGTACTTTAGTAGTTTAAACCTACGATTTATATTTAAGAGTTTTGGAGATCGACATTTTATTTTAAAGTTTTCAAAAGTATAAATTAGCGAGGAAGGGACTGATTTCAAATTCATATTGTTCATCTCTAATATTTTTAAGTTACTACACCTAAAGAAGAGTAAGAATTTGTACACATGGACATACAGTCAAGAGAATCAACAAAATGAAATAAAGACCTCAAATACCCTATCTAACTGAACGAGTGGAATAACAACATAATGGAGTCAAAAATATACACCAGCTGCAATATCAATGCCTTTCACGAAAGGTCTTTCTAGTAATAGAGTAGTAAAATAATATTTGACGATTTTGGATTCCAAAATTTGGCTCAAACGAAGTACAGTGCTTAGCCTTAACATACCTCGATTTTGGGTCTTGTTGTATCAATATGGATTGTACCCCTTCCTTACAGTATGTAATCTACAGAAAATCATGTCACACAATCATTGCAGGCAGAATATTAACACGGCAGGGTCAAAGTAGCAATTTAGATCCTACTAGCAGAGCAATTAGCTCGCCAGACCCTTTTTAAATGCATGCTTCATTACCTTTCCTTCTCCAAATTACAACCCTAAATTAATGACGTAACATACATTTTTGCAGCAGCTATTAACAAGTTGAGGCCTACACAATAGTCAACAACAACCAAATAGAGTATGCCTGCACAACAATTAAAACTCGGCGTATCGCCACACCCCTCTTTTCCAACCCAAAATAACCATAACCAAATCCTAACCACGACTCTTCAAACCATTAAAGACATAAAAAAATATGTATAATACAGTCCTATAATTTTTCAATATAACCATATAAACTTGAACTCGCTGCTTCCAATCATCATCCTATACGTTCGTCCAGTAATTACATTTGGAGTCACATTTTTCTCTTCATATGCAATAAGAGCTTAAAATGACAAAACCTAAACTTAAACTTGATGGAGCTTGCAGTACATTAACATGTCTTGTCAATAACAAACAATCTCCTTAAACGCAAGAAGTTGAACCAA